AATTTTGCTATGAAATGACCAATAAATGTTAAATTCAATTAATAATGATATATAAAGTATTCAACAAATATAGAAATACCGAACATCCTGCCACATGAGGTTCTTCTCGGTTTCCTCAACATCATCCCAAGATGGAGTAGTAATCGGAACATGGTGTCGAGCTAGTAGTCCCAAATAGCTCTTAAACTTAGCGAGCATTTGGGCCGGATGCCTTACCGAACGTGGATCAACTTCAACTTGAGTTTTCTCTCTAGCTACCCTCCTTCTTCGTCAACCCCTTTAGCAGAGTGACGAGATCTACCTTTATCACCACTTCAGCTCACCTGCCACTGCCACTACCACTTCCGAGTACCAGCTGTGGAATCCGACATATCCTGAAAAACAAAACAATATGAAGTCAACATACTTTATAAGTTTGAATAAAAAGAACTAGAAAATGTGAAGATAAACACCTATTATGTTGGTATGTTTTCCCATATCCCTTCATCATGATCACTTCGAATTGCATGTATGTCATCAACTTCATTGTCAACTATGTCATCAAATGGTCTACTTGAAAATGAAGGTGTTTCATGTATATCTAGAGACTCATCTTCATGAATTCCGTGCATGCTTCTTCCTTCTAGGACAATTGACCATCTCTCATTACATGGATCCTTGACATAAAATATTTGTCTCGCTTGATATGCCAAAATAAAAGGTTCATCCTTATACCCAACTTTACTCAAATCAACCAAAGTAAATCCTAGGTCATCTGTTCGCACACCCGTATTCCCTTCAACCCATTTACACTTGAAGACAGGCACCCTAAAAGTAACATAATCAATTTCCCATATCTCTTGTATGACCCCAAAATAACTCATAGAAGCTGTGATAGGATTTTTGTCTTTAGAACTAGAAAAATGCATAGATTCAGCTTGAATTGTGACCCCACTATTTTGTACTCTACCTTTATCATCTTCTATTTTTGAGTAGAAACAATAGTTATTAATGTCATACCCACCAAATGTAATGACATCACTATTAGGCCCACGAGCAAGTCTCAAAAGTGTTTCGAAGCATTAATCTCAACATATACCCTTTTTTTAAACCAAGAAAGGAAACTTTTGTTATGTTCATTCAATACCCATTTTTCATTCATTCGTGGATGTGTTGCCTTTATTTCGGTTATGTGTTGTGATATGTAAGGGATTACTTCATCGGTGTTGTTCAATATGTATAAATGTGCTTGGTCAACTTCTTTCCGACTAACATTTTTAATCTTCAAATTTCGAGTACCCTTACCTTCACATCTTCCATCATGTCTCATCTTAGGAATACCTATTGGTTCCGATTTTGACATATATCCTTGACAAAACTCAATGGCTTCTTCGCAATGTACCTTTCCACAATAGAAGCTTCGGCTCGTCATCGATTCTTCACATATCCTTTTAAGATCTTCATGTATCTCTCAACAGGATACATCCATCTAAGAAAAATTGGACCACATAATCGAATTTCCCTTACCAAATGGACTATCAAATGCACCATGATATCAAAAAATGAAGGGGGAAAATACATTTCTAACTCGGCACACTATTACAATTGCTTCATTTTCTAATTCATCTAACTTTTTTGGATCAATTACCTTTTTACAAATGGCGTTGAAAAACAAACATAACCGAGTAATAGCAATTCTAACGAAGTTGGTAAGATGTTTCGAATAGCCACTGGTAAAAGTTGTTGCATCAACACATGACAATCATGAGACTTTAAACCAACTAATTTCAACTCTTGCATAGACACAAGACTCTTAACATTTGAGGAGTATCCTTGTGGCACTTTGACCTCACGTAAACACTCACAAAAGCTTCTCTTTTCTTTCTTTGATAGAGTATGACAAGCTGGAGGTAAGTAAGTGCGTTTTCCAATTGATTGTGGATGTAATTCGAACGTATACCCATGTCCGCCAAATCTTGTCTTGCTTTTATTCCATCTTTTGTCTTTCCTTTTATGTTAAGCAATGTCCCAATTACACTATCACAAACATTTTTTTCAACATGCATCACATCTATACGAGTGTCTAACTTCCAACTTACACCAATAAGGAAGATTGAAGAATACTGATCGTTTCTTCCAAATGTTTTTCTCATTGGATTTCTTTTGGGTCTTTCCAAACACAATATTAATATTTTTCACTTGCTCATATACTTGTTCACCATTGCGTGGTACTGATGCAACTCGCATTCTCCGACATCCATTAAATGCTTTCTTCATTTTACGATATGGATGGTTAGCAACTAGAAACTTTCTATGCCTATTGTACGCAGTTTTTTGTCCATGTTTCAATTGGATATAACTTGTGTCTTCTTGACATATAGGACACGCTAAATGACCTTTCACACTATAACCGCTCAAATTACCATATCGCTGGAAAATCATTTATAGTACAAAATAACATTGCACGTAACTCGAAATTCACTTCGTGATATGAATCAAATACATCCACTCCTGTTTCCCACAACATCTTCAAATCATCAATTAAAGGACTAAGATATACATCTATGTCATTTCCTGGTTGTCGAGGTCCCGAAATCATCATAGATAACATCATATATTTTCTCTTCATGCATAACCAAGGAGGCAAATTGTAAATGATCAACATAACCGGCCATGAACTATGTTTACTACTTAAATTTCCATAAGGATTCATCCCATCTGTAGCTAATCCAATTCTCAAGTTTCTTGGCTCTGCACCAAATTCTGGAAAGGTTTCATCAATCCTTTTCCATTGTGGAGAATCAGTTGGATGTCGAAGAAGATTGTCACATTTTCTACCATTTGCATGCCATGTCAAGTTTCTTGCATCTTCTTTTATGGCAAATAATCTTTTAAACCTAGGTATAATTGGCAAATACCATAACACCTTAGCAGGGGGACCATCTAGTTCTTCCTCACCACTACTTTCCTCAACTTTGGTTTTGAACCTCGACAAACCACATGTCGGACACATCTTTAATTTAGCAAAATCATTTCGTACAATATACAATCATTAGGACATGCATGTATTTTCTTGTACTCTAAACCCATTGGACATAATATCTTCTTTGCCTCATAGTTACGAATAGGTAATGTATTATCTTCAGAAGCATCTCCTTCAACAACTCCAATAATTCGGTGAAACTTTTATCGAGTCCATCCATTTCTTGCTTTTAAAGTAAACAATTTTAAAGTTCGTTGATAATCTTGTAAAACTACATCCTATGTACAATTGTTGCGCAAAATCAGATTTCAAAGAATCATATAGATGTGCTTTCATAAAATGTTCTTCACCAATATCACGTATCATATCCTCTAGATTATCATCCATCCCTTCATCAAAATTGTCCGTAGTTGACACAGTTGGGATGTCTAATATTTCTCCATGCCATGTCCATATTGTATAACTCTTAATAATACCATAAACAAACAAGTGATCACGTATATCCTCAAGTTTATGACGAATTTGATTCAAACAACGAACACATGGACAATAATATGTCCCTTTCATAGCTTTTCCATTTTCACTAGCAAATTTCGAAATTCCTCAACTCCCTTTTCGTACTCTTCACTAATACGACGTGCATTCATCCAACTTCGATTCATATTATGTTATAAAGTTTCGTCACTCCTAAAGATTTAAAAATTATATGTAAAAAAAAATTAATATACAAACAACAAAGCACGTTCCAACAACAATGGAGTGTGTAAACCGAATGCACTCAAACAAATAAACAAATAACCGCATTCCAATAACAATCCAAGTGGAGACATTCATACTATAACGTGATTGAGATCCCCAAAAACAATCACGGATTCAATGTAAACATATAGCAATGACAATGAACACTAACCTCGAGTGTAGACGAAAACCGATTTCAAACTCGAATCCAATCGGGAGAAAGATGAAGTTCGTCAAATGACACGACAATGTAGATGTTTTTCATCGTAAAGCCGCTCGCAAATGGTGTGCGAGAGGTAGTCGTTGTCGTTGTTCTCGTCGTCGTTCTCAAAAACCCTGGTTGCGCGAGACGAGGAAGTGGGTCGGGAGGAAATAAAATAGACTTTTTACGTCGCGCAGTGTAGTAAGCGACGTAAAAGTCATCTTTACGTCACACCAGGAGGCGCGACGTAAAAGATGGCCTTTTACGTCGCGTACGGGGGCGCGACGTAAAAAGCTAAGGCTTTTACGTCGCGTCCCCGTACGCGACGTAAAAGCCATCTTTACGTCGCGCCTCCCAGTGCGACGTAAAAGATGACTTTTTACGTCTCCTATTGGGGTGTGCGACGTAAATTTTTTGTCCCATATTTACAAAATTGCCACCGCGTTTTATTTACGTCGAATATACGTGCATGCGACGACAATTGGGTGACGTAAAAGCCATATTCTGCACTAGTGATAACAAATCTAGGACGCATGGCACAGCCTCCATATGCAGAAGTAGGAATAAACGCTATAGTTGGCTTAAAATTTTGTACAATTTATCCAAATAAAATGCAAACAATTTAGTCCCAAGGAAGAAAAACTAGAAAATGATGAGACACCCCCTTCCTCCAAAAAAAAAAAAAAGGAGAAAAATAATTCTCTGACAGCTTCCATGCATATCCCGATACAAAACCACGATGCTTTGTCCCCTTATTCCACCCAACAAAATAAAAAATGATTGAGAATAATTTTTCTGTTAAAATGAAAAAAAAAAGTGTAATTTGAAGAAATCAAATCGCAAAATTCCAATTCAACCCCCAAGATAACCAATTCACCTTAAAAGCATACAATTCTCCAACCTATTGCAAGCACTCCACTTGTCAAGTTCCTACCCTCCAACCCCGTCACTGTGTCAGGAGCCCCACACCGACATGATGGGGAACACATCACGTGAAACTTCTGCTTAATTAGCATCATGGGAAATATCCAACATATCCATATCCATCCCACATACATCCATCCACACATCTAATACACTATTCCTTGTCCCTTCCCCTCAACTCTGGAGCTGTTCCTTGTCCTTGTATCCCAATGGTTGAGACACTGTTTTCTGCTGCTGATGCTGATGAAGGGAAGGTGATTGCATTGCTGCTTGTGATTGTGATGTTGGTGGGGTTTGAAGATTGTTGTTCACTGTGTTACGCATCTTTTGTAGGTTCTGATGGTGGTAGATTTGCCTCAGTCTCTCTATCTCCTTCTTCAATGCCTCTTGATGAGCTGAGAGATTCAAAATTTCCCACTATCTCAGTAATCATGATCATGGTGCTTTTTGGAAGTTCCAAAGGTGACTATATGTAATCCACAAAAGATCGAATAAATCTTGCAAAAGAATGCTATTTTCAGTTAAAAAATATAACATATAATGCTTGTGCATAGCCAACCTACAACCTAGATATCAACATCAGCATATGGAGATCAGGAATCTTAGGATATGACTTACGTCGGGTTAGTTCACACGCACGTATTATGTATACTACACATATATATTACATATCATTCATACCTGTAATGTATATATATCAAATAAAGAAAAATAAAATCTCTGGATATGGGTCACGTACTAAAAAAACAGATGATGTGAAAATATTTGGAAAAGGAAAAAGAACAAAGTATTATACCATCTTTGAAAATCTTGTCTTGGGCCAAAGCAGCAATGCGTTGCTTCAAGGCACTATTGTCGACGTTAAGAATCAAACGTTGATGGTCCAGAAATGCAACTCGTGGTGACAATGCTGATACCTCCGTCTTCATTTTAACATTATAAATTTCTCATACATAATTAGCACAAAAGTTATACATAGTGAAAGATGAATATGCTATTATGATGTACTTAATAACTATGCTACATGACTACATGTAACATTTATAATCCTGGTGCATCTATATGTGTTATTCTGAAAAATTAAATTGAACTTATTTACCTGCAAAGTTGTTACGCTCCTTTCAAGCTCAGAGATGTATTGTAGCTTTCTTACCCTTGACCTCTGTGCTGATTGCCTGTTAGCCAAAATTCTGGCATGCATATATAATAACAATAAAAAATTAGATTCAGTTTGGTATATGTCTACACACGTTTAACTTTTATACATACATAAAATCAATCACTTCTCCTACAAGGCTATGTCAAAGTAGCTTGAAAAGGAAAAAGGGGTACAAGAGATTGATGTTCTGCACTCCAACCAACTCATTTAATTGGTTTGATAAAATTAACTTTGTTCCATCCAAATATATGACTATCAAAACATTTGTTTTCTTTATTATTATAATTGTAAACTTATTCTGCCTTCCTGAAAATCTAAATATACTAAATAACACAAAATTTCAATTTTTCTATCATGCATTTCAGTTAAAAAGTGTGGTCATCAAAATGATAAATTTTATAATGTTATTATTAAGAACCGAAGGCTATGATAATATTATTTGCAATTCTCAAAGTATAATGTGGCATACTAAACAAGTATATTATTCATATTTGACATTAAAAAGCACCATATCCAAAATTTAATGTGTAAGAGAAGGTATGGATCACGCGGTATTTTTTTTTACGGTTATCAACAATTATTTAAACTAATGAGAGTAATTCAAAACTTTTTAACTTAACAGCCTTTTAGGTAAAGATTATGAATAAAATTTTACTCAACAGGTATTAAATTAAATAATTACAATAAATAATCTATCAAATGAGAGAATTATATATTATATCATCATGACTAATACACTTATTACTTTTAAAATAATTATTTTAAAAATTATACAAAACAGTAAGTACATACTAAATAGACAGTATATTACACTAACATTATGTATAAATTAAACTTGCTAATTTATTTGTTTATATTCAACCTAAATTCTACTAAGCTAATAGTTTATTTGGAAAATAAAATTTATTTTCATTAATTGTACGTGCATGGGAGGTGGACAACATAAAATAAAACCACTAATAACAATAATTAATATTTGGTGTGAAACCTTACCTTTTGACCCTCTTGGGATCGACAACGGTTTCAGTGCAGGTGGCAGTGGCGGAGAGTGGCGGCGCCGCGGCCTCGTTCCTGCACGAGCTCTCCTCTTCAACCGTTTCCGTCTTCGGCTTCACGTCCAGCGCCATTGCCATGGGCTTCTCCTCGTTGTTGCTATTTTGGTCGGAGGACGGCGAGGAGGGATTGGACGCCGACGACAGCGGTGGCGGCGGGAGCGCCGCGGCGGCAATGTCATCAGAGAACATGGAAATCAGCTGGTCCTCGTCGAGTCGGTCGAAACCGGCTCGACATTCCTCCAGAAACGGCGTCTCGAGAAAGGCAATGGAGTCACTGGCGGATCGCCTGTGAGCCCCCCGCCGGGTGGACGAGAAGTCGAGGAACTCGTCGACCCAAGAGGGTTGGGAAGGAGTGGTGGTGGTGGCGGCGACGGTGGTGGTGGATGAGGTTGGGGGGGTGAAGTTGGCCATTGTGGGCACCCTTTGGTGAGGAAAAGATGGCCAATTTTGGGGTATGGTTGGTATTTTAGGAGGTAACTGTGCCATTACCTTTGTATGTGTGACCCCAAATATAGAGAGATACGGAAAAATTTGTGTACTATGTATAATGGCCTTGTGTATCTAAGTGTGTCTGAGAAAATGGAGAGAGAAAGAAAGAGAGAGAGGAACAACAGAGATCCCAACAACCTAACCAACACACAAACAACCGAAAATCTTACTTCAAAATCTTGTTCTTGGGTTTCTAAAACCAGCGGGAGAGAGAGATATTAAAGAGATGATGAGAGGCAGCGGCATTGTGCATGTAAAGCCTCATAAGGGTGTTTTTATTCATTTGCTATAAAGTTTTTTTCTTTCTTCGTTTTTTTTTTTTCCTCCCTTTTCCTAGATTTTGGTATAATGCAATGCAATATGTAATGTTTGTTTTTCTAAGGGTTTTGGAGAGAGAGAAGGAGGGAGAGGTGGGTCACATGGGAAGGGATTAGAGACAGCTAGCAACAGCTAGCTGGTGAAAGACTCAACGGTTTTAGTGGGAAAAATGGAGTGTTGTTTAATAACTATAGGAATCAGCAACCACGTGCAGATGTGACCCCTTCACTTGGCATCCATTGTCTCATGTCATGATACTGTATACCATATGTTATTAAAATTTCATCCCTACTGAACTTGTTCTTGGGTTGGATTGGAGCAGTATTTTATTTTTAACCCTGCCTAAAAAGCTTGGTCTATATAGAGTGTGTGCAGTTCCTCTTGTGCTGTGTGTCCTATCCATATAGCACTTTAATTACACTGGGATAATAATGGGACCACAATCAATGCTTGGCCTCCTGGTTTTCACATGGTCAGTGTGCCATCAGAACCGTTCAATTGATTATTCTATGTATAATCATCTTTTCTTTATGTGTTCTGTTACCATTTTTGGATCGGCTTAATGGATTGGATACGGCTGGCATCCGATATTTGTACTTTGGTTTTGGTTTGGATCAGATACTACTTCCCATTTTTATATCTTAATCAAACAGTGTGGTTTAGTTTTGATCATTCAATTGAGTATTTGGCAAGTTTGTGATTAGTGGTGGGATAATTTAATAACTGAAAAAGGCATATGCAATGTGGATCGTTTAATTTTTTCCATGGTGCAGTTACATAGGAGAAGATCTTGGGAAAGATTAAACTATGGGTAGTGGTATATTGAGAAGATTTAAAGGACTTTGGTTAAGGATGAGCTGTGAAGAAAAAAAAGGGCTATGTAAGAATCATGTCCTCCATCTCCCCCCATGTGAAACCCTTTGCAAGAACTCAGCTTTCTTTGCTTTATATATATCCCCAAAATCAGACTCACATGGGGAGATTTATGTTCCTGTTCCTTCCCTTCTCCTCTGAAATTCTGGGTAGCTCCATCATTTCATGCTGGCACCAATGTTGCATATGTAGTTTTTTAAAGTGAATGACGCACTAATAATGATTAGAGGGAAAAGATGGAATAATGCATGTTAACTCTCCCTATTCTTTAATACCTCTGTCTTTATATTTATCACTTTGACGCCATCACCCACTTTTGAAGATGTTCTATTATTTCATATATATATATGTATGCTTGCAAATTCGATTCTTCGTGAAGAGGAAAAAGAAATTTAGATTCCTCTTGAAATCATTAACTTAATTCTTTATAGAAAATCGTCATTGTGATTACTAACATCCCTCCAGATAACCATGGTCATATGTGTTAACTCAAAGTGGTTACCTCTCCATGGTCAATGAACATATTCCACTAACCATTCAAATATTCTCAGTATAATTAATTAATCAAAACATAAAATAGAAATGTCGTGAATGATTTTATTGTTAGTCTTGCTGTTAATTAGCATCCTTAAATATTGATTTAACAAGTATTAAATATATTTTTTTAAATAGTTTGATTACTTTAAAATAATAGTTTTTGTATTTTTACATTAACAAAAAATGTTGTAATTTACTTTTGTTTTCGTTAATGATCTAATTAGTACTATTTGGGTAATTGCCGTACTTTTAATACCAACGTCATGTACTAATTTGATTAAGTTAACCAACTTGAAATTCTGATCATATATACACTATTAATTAATCAACAATAATTGAAGGTTTTGCATGTGCAGTCCATGACTAATATTTTAGTATGGGACTTTTCGAAGATAAGTATTTGTTTTTATATGATTAAATTTATAACAAAATAATTATTTTTAATTATAAATATATAAATTATATATATATATATATAGTAATTGTTTGTAATGGGTAAACTATATCTTGTAAATTTTTATATAATCCAAATTGTGATATAAAATCATTTTTAACTATTGATAATTTCTTCAATATTAAAACTTTAACATAATTTATATTAGCCAAGTAAAATAAAAGTAGGATATTTTAAGATAATTCGGTGGGAGGGAAAAACTTAGATAGATGTAGAGATAGTCTGAAATTTTTTTACTAATTTAAATTATAAAATCATGAGTAAAATTTGTAAAATAAAATTTAAAATTTATAAAGTTTTTTGAGTTTTAATAAACTTCTATCAAATAATAAAGAATCTGTTTAAGAGAATGATTTAAGTTGTTGGGATTTTTTTAATTGATATCATTATTTTTTTTCACAAATGTGGCAAGAATATGTTTCACTAAGAAAAGAAAAATGGTGGAGAATAATTGGTCCGTCGCAAGTTGACTTTTCAAAATCATTTTCCTCAATATAGCTTTTGATTAGCTAATTGGTTAATGAGAAACCACATCTACTTAGTTGATATATTTAAATTAAGCATATTAATAAATTTAAATTCAATTTTACAAAATTATAATGTCGTTACATTTTAATTTTGTTTTATATTTAGTTGTATTGATAGTATATATATATACATACATACATATATATATATATATATATATATATATATATATATATATATATATATATATATATAACTCAATAGATTCATAAGAATAGTTTTGAGCAAGAATACAACATTTACAAAATTATGATGTTGGGTTAGATGTAATAATGCAAACCAAATATCGTAGCAAAGAAATTAAATAATAGTATAAAATTTCATCTTGGAACTAAAATTATGTCTAAGTATAACCAAATGTAAATTTTATTTTATAAATTAATTTTTTAAACTTAAGTTAGGTTTAAATTTACTTTTTAACATATTATCTTAATTAGATTAATTGGATATATTGTGTAACTCATTACGAGATTCACGATTATCATCATCCAAAAATATTTAATAATTAGTTTCGTAAATTTAAATTAGTTTTAAATCTATTTTTAGTGTAATGAATAATCTTATTTTGTACTTTTTTCAGATTTTCTTCTTCGTTTCTGTATCCCTCCTTTTCACCTCATCTACTGACACCAAAATAGGAGGAAAGTTACTGATCATCCAGAGTAAAATAACTTAATTAATGCATCTGAAATAGGCTTCAAATTTGTGATCCCTAGAAATGTTGGGTACCGTACATAGGATTTAAGAGAGAAAGGGGTACGTAACGAAGAGGAAGAAGAAGAAGAAGCATAATTGCACGTGGGACGACCAACAACTCTTGCCTGCCTGTCTTTTTTTTTTTTTAGTTTTTATTCTTTTTAATTGTTTAATAAACTAATAATTATTAATTATGTGCATTTAAATTTAATTAAACCTATAATTGTATACACCTTAATTTCATGAACTAGTATATTATAAAATTGATGCTTCATGCACATGTTATTAGCAGGAAGCATATGTAATATGGTGGGATAATGATGATAAATAATTGAAAGCGCCAAAACAATGGACGCGCAGAAACACAAATAAAAGAAGAAAGTTTGATGGGGACCATTTACAAAAGTTTGTGTGTTTTGGTTGAAGTTGTAGTTTCATATTCACTATTCAGTGCATGTCTGTAAATATCACTATATATGGAAATATTAATTAAGCATTCTTAAATTTTATATTTCTCTTTAATATTAAAAGGTTAAAAAGTTATTTTTCCATCATATTATTAGTAATATAAATGATGTTATTTATGTAATTTATTTATTTTAAAATATCTATCATAAATATAGTTTATGATCTAAGTTTATATTTTTTATTTTAAAATTTAATTTTGTTACAATCTAAAATATAGGTTCATATTTTATGTTAGATTAAATTTTAAAAATTAAATAACTTATAAATTAAGAAAAAAATAATAATTTAATGATAAAATTTTATATTAAAGTAATATTATATTTTCTTATATTATTCATTGATGAATATCTTACTCTATCAAAAATATCTAAAATGATATATCTTATGCTGAAATAGGTTGATATAATTTTGTTCCATAGTAGTCGGATTTATATAATAATATTCAGTAAAAATTTTAGATCACATCGAAACAATGATAAAGTTGGGTCCATGTTCACTTTATAGAAGAATTAGATATCTTTTTCTTTTTGAAGATAAATGTAGAAAGAGCAACGAATTAATTATGTGGAAAGAATAAGTAAGAGGTGTATTTAAAATAATAATAACAAGAAGAAGAAGAAAACATAAGATTACGTGGTCTGCATATAGTACGTACCAAGCAACAGCTGACAAATTTTTACAACACGGTTTGGGCTTGTTATTTTAGTGCACTACATAACATACGTATATTTTGGGGTTCACGATACGATAAAGGATTAAGGATTACGGCCACGCAGTGTCATGTCAATTTAAGTTTCATTCGCAGCAATATATTTGAAATTTTGATCAATTGAATAATCGAAACTGCTAATTATTTGCATTATTTTTAACTCAAGAGTGTCTGATTCAATCAATTTAACCGTTATGATGTGTAAATAAATGAGATTATTTCTATTATAGAATTTTTTTATTTATGTCACATCTAAAAGTTGACACAAATTCTTTACTTTTAAATAGATTATACTACTATAATAATAATATAATTAACAATGACTAAACTGACACCGTGATTAATAATGATTAAACTTTAATGTCTTAGGATTGTTAATAAAACTATCATTATATATAAGAGATATTACAATACCGGTTATTTATATATAACTTTATTATATTTCTTATATAATATTTCTTATATACAACAAATTTGATCATATGTTGTTACTGAAATTTTACGTCAAACATGTATATCACGATGGTTATAATATTAATTATTGTTGTATCTTGAATTTTTTATTTTTTTAAAGAGCAATTTATTTTAGACTCTTTCTCAATACATGCATATTTAAAATATACAATACAATACAAATTTTATGCATATTTATAGTATAAACAAAATCATAAATATATATAATATTTACTATCTAATATTAGTTATCCTAAAATCCTACAAAATAATTATAAATCCTACACATATAATTAGTAATTATCATAAATGTACAAGAATAATTAGTCACCTATCCTAAATGTACAAGAATAATCAATCTACTATCCTAAATGTACAAGAATAATCAGTCTACTATCTTTAGGTTCAACCATAAAGTCATAATCATATACATAGTATTGTTTTAACAAAAAATAAGTATCCTAATGTATTAATCGTGTTGATGAATTATGTTGTCCATGTGCGTCTAATATAATTTATGACATCTATATCTATGAGAAATGTGTTCATAAAAAACTACAATACGGTAAATAAATTTTTATAAGTATCATTACATTAGTGCAAAAAAGGCTTTTTATGTCGGTTAAAATGAACTTTTTACGTCGGTTAAAGAGGCGACATAGATACAGGGGTCATAAAAAGTATGACTTTTTACGTCGGTTGTGATGAACCGTCATAGAAAGTATGACTTTTTATGAAAATTGTCAACTGATAGGATTAGACCAACCACTACATACGATTTTTATTTATTTATTCATATTATATTTTTATTATACTTTATAATATATTATTTTATTATCTCGTTTAAGAGATTTGTGTCTAGCAAGATTCGAACCCAAGTACCTTAGAGTTGGAGACCGATACTCCAACCACTAAACTACTACGAATTTCGATACATAACTTACAAATAAATTATATTTATATACAAAATATATAAATACAAATATATTTATATATTTTGATATATAAATATTTATATACTTATATATTTAATTTTTTTTATTTAATATACACTTTTTATGTCGGTTAAGTTCACTATTTGTGTCGGTTAAATTTTAACCGACATAGAAAGTACTTTCTATATCGGTTAAAATTTAACTGACATAAAAAGTGAATTTGCCCACATACCATGTCGGTTATATAACAACCGACATAAAAAGTTCATAATATTATTACAAAAATGCCACCGCCCTATATACTATGACGGGTGGATTACAACCGTGATAAAATGTCGTCATAGAATCATATTTTTCCACTAGTGTTATGGTACCTAATCATCTTTAAATAAATATTAATTGGCTTACCTGATCCTAACCTCTATCTATTCCTGTTTGGATAATAGTTGTCATCTATTGCATTACATAGTAACCACACTCATATCTTCCAGATTGTTTGTTACACTATTTTCAAAATGTAGAACTTAAATTAGTTTGTTAGTAACAAAATAAACCAAAATAAACACCATAAATTATACCTTTAGATGCAACCATGTGAGTGTTTGTAGTCTTCCACCTGACCTATTGCTCATTATGTTATATCCATAATAAGCACTAATAACATATACACTTAGTTAAAACATGTATAAAAAAATAATTTCTATAAAAACAACCAAATTTTGTTACCAATCTACTATTTGTTTAAGGTATAGCGGTGACTTTTTGTGAAATGAACAAAACCATGCAGTTGTGTTATCAATCATTGATATGACAAGCAATTGTCAATGATCACTATACATTAAAACATACTGAAATTAGTTAAAAATAGAATTGATTAAACATAAATTACAGAGAGAATTTACTTACTCATAAACATATGATGCAAAATAATTTTTTTTCCAATAAGAGATTATTTGTGATGTATATTTGTGTATCTAACTTTTTATTATCTGGTGGTTGAATGAGTTGAGGGTCTACAAATCCATACACTTCATTTTTTCCCTCACTCACACATAACTAGGATAGATACCTACTACATAATAATTAATATTTCAATAACTAAAATAGTAAGAACTTTAGTTTAAATAACTTACATCATCCATAACTACATAACAAATATGTTAAGCTCTAGATTTCCTGTTGTAATCTCTAACATGTCAGATAAGTGCAAATATAATAGGATATCACTCTTCCTTCGTAGAATCCCATGGCACCCCAACTAGCACTACTACAAATAAAGCCTTCAATGTCGGTTCTGGAAGGCTTTCAACGTCGGTTACCGACGTTGTATCAGGCGACGTTGAAAGTCCGTAACTTTCAACGTCAGTTCTAATAAACCGACGTTGAAAGTTACGGACTTTTAACGTCGGTTTATTAGAACCGACGTTGAAAGTATAATTTTTTAAATTAATAATTTTTATTTATTTACAACCCCTTTACCCCCTTTATTTATTTAGAAGTCTCCCCTCTCTTTATATTATATTTTTATTAGGTCCTCCATCTCTTTATATTATATTTTTTAGAAGTTTATTAATTTTTTAAGAGAATTGTCATTGGCAGGATTCGAACCCGAGTACTTTAGAGTTGGAGGCCGATACTCCAACCACTAAACTACTGGAATTTTTTGATAATAACTTACAAATAAATTATATTTATATACAAATAAATATATATCCGTGTAAATATATAAATATATAAATACAAATATATTTATATATTTTGATATATTTATATAGTTATATATTTATATGTTGAATGTGAGGGTACACTCGAAAGTGAAAGTGTGTGTCGAGTAGGTTTTTAAAATTTGATGCTAAATTTGTGAGCAGGTATCTTTATATGAGTTTGTAATTTAATGAAATGATATAATCTTTATAATTTTATTTATATAATAATATAAAATAAATTTGGGAAACGCGTTATTCGCTCTCAAGCGAAAAATACCAATTTTCGCTCAAGTGAGACTTGAGTGAGTGAATTCCGTGAGCTTTAACATATTTTCACTCAAGCGAGAGTCAATCACACTTTCACCCTCGGTCAAAAAATACCAATATAATTTATTTGTAAGTTATTATCAAAAAATTGTAGTAGTTTAGTGGTTGGGATATTAACTTACAACCCTAAAATACTCGGGTTCAAATGCTTGTCGTTGACAATTCATTAACTTAAGTGAATTTTTGGCTGAAAAAAAAATAAAAATACTTTCCAGAAAATATATACAAATAAATATATATTTACATGGATATATATTTATTTGTATATAAATATAATTTATTTGTAAGTTATTATCGGGAAATTATAATAGTTTAGTGGTTAGAGTATTAGTTTCCAATTCTAAAATCCTGAGTTTGAATCCTGGCAGTGACAATTTTCAAATTTAATTGAATTTTTGGGTGAAAAAAATAAAAAAAAAGACTTTCAACGTCGGTTCATATGGGAATCGACGTAAAAAGTACTTTCTACGTCGGTTGACTAAGAACCGACGTAGAATGTGTTTAATATTCAACTTTCAACGTCAGTTCATCTGGAACCGACGTGGAAAGTACTTTCTACGTCGTCTCAGCTATAACCGACGTTAAATGACGACGTAGAAAGTATATTTTGTAGTAGTGTAGATTGTTGGATTGTTACTAATGGCCCTAACTTCTTAACCGCTGGTCAAACTACTGCCACAAGTTTTGTGTCACAATCTTTGTGACCTCTTTTTTGAGCTCCTCCCTAATCTCCTTCCTTAATTGTGCTATTAGATTATGTATATACTCTTGGTTGGGGCCACTAAATGAGGAATATGACTTACATGCTACTGATCCAAAGAAAGATTTAATCTCAACACCTACTACAATTTAGCTCGAACATGATAAGGGTACTCAAGTCGACCAAATATAGCTATTAGGATATCATGCCGACCCTCAGGAATAAAAGTACCCTAGGTACATTCCTCAACCAAAGAATCTTCTAATGTAATCAAATTGTAAGATAAATAGTAATTTTGACATAATAAATATCATTAGAAATAAAAAAATAAGTACTTACAATATGTTCGATCGTAAGATGTGACTCCTCAAAAGTATATCTGCCCGATTTTTTATGTCAAACTTGCTTCCACTTCTTATGACATGAAGGTAGAGATGGTGAGTCAAGACTAGAAGCATCTGATAAAGATGCAGTTTGTGCTTTCTCTTTCTCCATCATCATGGTTTGTTCAAACTTTCGATAACCCCCACATGACAATAAGTGATGGGTCACATTATATGCCTGAATAGCTTGTACTTTCTTCCTAACACCCTGTTGCCAAGTCAAAATAATGTTATTAATTAGTTAATTATAATTGAAAACAAATGTGAAAACAAGAAATATATGATTACTTGCAATTTCTCATCCTACCTCGTTTGAACAAACTGTGTCCATGTTTCTTCATCAGTCATCGTATATTTGGTACAAGGATTTTCATTACTCCTTGCACCAAATACATAATTTGTCGTCATTTTAGGCTTAAATTGACGTCATTTTATTGCCACCAAAATAAGAATTTTCGATCTTAATGTCCCAACATAAGGATATCATAATATGTCCGTAAAACAAAAACAAAGATGGTTAAGACTATATAATTAGGCAAATTATAAAAGAAAGAATTAATGTATATATTAAACTATTTACCAAGATATTTTGTCAAATAATGTTTCTCTCAACCTCTGTAACATGATTCCAATATGGGACTAAAATAAAAATCTTCTCACGAGCTAATACACTGAGGTAGCTACTAAAAGACTCAACATTGGGCCTAGAGGCTACACTTGTGTGAACATCAATAGTAAGAGGTGTCTTCTTACCACTACCATGTCTAAGTGAGAGGGACCTCAATCTAGTAGCTCCTCTACTTGACTTCTTGGTCGTCTTCTCCAACTTAAGAGGCGATCCTTCATCATCAAACACTTTCCTATTAAAAAAATAAAAGAAATTGTTAGATTCAATTTAATAATAATTATAAGTTTTCAAATAAAAATAAACAAAATTAATATATATTCATACATATGTATATTCATTCATTGTGATCTTGTCTAGTCACATATACATCATCAATAACATTGTCTTGATCGTTCTTAGTAATCATAGTTGATGTGAATGAGTGAGTGTGACAAATATCAAGATTAAATTGTTCATTTTCATGAGAAAAATCTTATTTCTCTCCATGAAGAACAACTGAATAATGTTCAGAAGTAGAATCTTTGACATAAAATACTTGTGAAACTTGATGTGTTAGGATAAATGGTTCATCTTGGTATCCTATCTTTCATAAATCACATACGTCATTCTTGACTCATCGCTTCACACCATTTTATTGTCAACCCACTTACAGTTGAAAACAGACACTAAAAACTTAGTATAACTAACTTACCAAATCTCCTCAATTACACCATAATATGACATTGATCCAATAATAGGATTTTGATCCTTAGAAGTAAAGAACTATATTGACTCTGCTTCAAGAGTCACACCACTGTTTTGAACCATTTTTTCCAAAGACTTTGTATAGAAGAAACAATTATTAATATCAAATACAACATAAAACATCATACTTAAGTCCATTTGCTAACCATGTTAATGTTTCAATTGATGTCGAATCATTCATGATTTCCTCTTTAAACCATGCCATGAATGTCTTATTATGTTGCATCAACACCCATTTCTCTAGTTGTCTTGATTGTTCTCTTTGACAATGGATTTATGAGCAGATAAGTAAAGAATTATCTCATTTGTATTGTTTAATATATACAAATGTGTTGAGAACTTCTTCACGTGATTTAGTTACTATATGAATGCCTCGTAAATGTTTACTTGTTGATTGTCTATTGTGCCAAGAGTTTGATGGAAGTCCTATATGATTTGCCTTTGACATATACTCTGAACAAAATTCAATGGATTCTTCCACAATGTATCTCTCGATCATAGAGGCTTTTGGACGATAATAATTTTTAACATACCCTTTTAGAATCTTCATATAATGCTCAACTTGGTACATCTATCTTAGATAAATTGGGTCACATAATCTTATTTCTCTACCTAGATGTACAAGCAAATGCATCATGATATTAAAAAAGGATGGAGGGAAAAACATCTCCAACTGACATATAATAACAACAATCTCCTCTTCCAATGCATATAATTTTTTTTGGGTCAATTACTTTATTACAAATTGAATTGAAGAATGCACACAATCGAGTTATAGTTTGTCTAACATTTTTGGCAAGATTCCACAAATAGCTACAATCAATAATTGTTACATCAAAATATGACAATCATGAGACTTAAGACCAACTAGTTTTAAATCTTGCATAAATGCAAGACTCTTAATATTTGAAGAGAACCTTTGTGAGACTTTCACACTCTTCAGACATTGGCAAAAACTTATGTTGCTTCTTTTTGGACAAAGTATAATAAGTCGGGGGCAAATATGTGTGTCTTCCTGCCTCTGTTGGTGATAACTCCTCTCATATCTTTATTTCAATCAAATCTAAATGAGCATTGACACCATCTTTTATCTCCCCCTTGATGTTCAAAAGTGTTCCAATTAAGCTATCACATACGTTTTTCTCGACGTGCATTACAACAATATAGTGGCTGACATTAAGCTTAACCCAATATGGTATATAAAAGAAGATAGACCTTTTCTTCCAAATGTCATATACAACTGATTTTTCTTTTCTTTTTCCCAAACATAACATTAATATCCTTCACCCTTTCATAAGTTTGAACACTAATTAACAGAGTTGGTGCTTCATCATTCTCTTGATGTTCATTAAAAGCTTTTCTCAATCTACAATAAGGGTGAAACTTTTTTAGAAATCTCTGATGCCAAAGATAAATTGTCTTCCTACCATGTTTCAATTGCTCATAACTAGTATTTTCTTCATAAATAGGACAAGCTTTATGACCCTTTACACGGTAACCTGACAAGTTTCTATATGCAGGAAAATCATGGATAGTGCAAAATAACATGACATGCATCTTGAAAGAATCACAAGCAAATTCGTCAAACACTTCAACCCTTTCATCCCACAACAATTTCAAAAATTCAATCAATAGACTAAGATATACATTCATGTCATTTCCTAGTTATCTTGGACCTGAGATCATCATAGACAACATCATGTATTTACACAAGCTTGGATGTAGGTTGTAAATAAATAGCAAAACATGCCAAGAACTATGATTAGTACTTAGATTACAAAACAGATTTATTCTATCAGTAGCTAATCCAAGTCTAAGATTTCTTGACTTAGCACCAAATTCTAGAAACTCATTATCAAACTTTTTCCATTGCATAAAGTCAGCTGGATGACGAATCAATCCATCACATGTCCTCCCATCTGCATGTCATCTAAGATTTTTAACATCTTTAGGATTCATAAACAAACGCTTAAACGTTGGAATTATTGGAAGATACCAAATGGACTTGGCAGGAGGTCCCTTAATAGTAATGTCCTCACTACTATCTTGTTTATTATCCTTCACTTTGTAACGAGATAACCCACAAATTGAACATCTTTTCAACTCTTCAAATTCATTTCTATATAAAATACAATCATTGGAACATGCATGTATCTTTTTATACTCCATACCTATTGGAAAAAGTATATTTTTCACCTTATAATTATGATTGGATAGTGCATTTCCTTCTGGAAGCATTTCCTTCTATAATTGAAGCAATTCAATGAAACTTTTATAAATTCACCCATTCATTGCCTTCAAAATTGCTGACAATAGTGTGAAGTTACTTGAACCAGGAGAAAGTGAAGTCTCTATATCTCTATACATATCTTCATACACATGCGTTTGAGCAAAAGATTCTACTCCAACATCACAAATCATGTCCTCTAGTCGACCATTCATGGTTGAATCAACTAAATCGTTATCAAATTCATTTACAAAAGACATATCTAATAGTTCACCATGCCAATTTCAAATTGTGTAATATTTAAGAAAATCCTCACATAAAAGATGCTCCCTAATTTTCTCAACATTTAATAATTTTCCATTAAGACAATAACACATGAACACCTAAATCTTCCACAAGTAGAACTAGTCGAAATGTTTCGTTGTGCAAATAATAAAATTTATTCCACTCATTTCTCATACTCATCAATTATGTATGCACAATTAATCTAACTTTTATTCATTTCTAGATTTTGTAAATAATTTAGTTAACAATATAATTTGTCGGGGATCGGACATCTCTAGACTCAACACAAATTCGTACAAAAAAAATTTCATATCACTATCAATCGTCACAATACTAACCTTAAATCAATCCATCCATTAATCAAGACAGACCAGTTACTTACTACAGAGGAAGAATGAGCTCTCAAGGATTGCCACCAAACAAGCTCACGGACCACCACGAGAGGAGCACGACGAGAGGGAGAGAGCCACCAAGAAAGCGAGATGTGAGAGGGAGAATGCAGGCAGTGGCGAATTTAAGACCGTAAGTTAGTGGGGCAATTTATTTTTCAAACAATATAAACTAATAATAAATTTTAGATATATAGGCTAATGACTAACGAATTCAAATATATAATATTAGGGGGACAAAATAAAAAATTTGCAGATACTTAGTAATAATTTTAACAAAATCAAGGGATGCACCTGTACACCCTTGTATATATATAGGTCCACCACTGAATGCATGACGCCACGCGAGGAGATAACCGACAACGAGGGAGAGAATGAGAGGGAGGAAGAGATGCAAGGAAGTGAGGGAGTGAGCGAGAGGGAGATGTAGGGGAGGAAGGAGGAGATGCGAGGGAGGAAGGAGGATGATGTACATGAATAGGTTTTGAGAAGATATGACAACGATTATTAGTAATAATTATCGTTGTATAAGACATACAACAATGATTAAAATATAACCGTCGTCGAAGAGGTGGTGTGGTCCATATTTAACAACGGGTTTTTAATAACCATCATTGTATATTCTTTACAATGACGAGGAGAAGGAAAAAACTTTTCTTTTTTTATGGTAAAAATTTCATTTTTAAAAATGTCTTGGTTATTTTTAAATAAATGCCTTCGACGATGATCCCAAAATAACCATCACCAAAAGGTGTATTGTTTCTCATATCTATACTAGTGTTACAACTTAGTTAATGAATGAATAATCTAGTTTAAATTAATATTGGATTAATTTTGTCAAGAATTTTAGTTTAATTTTCTTGTATTTATTTTTTATTAAATAATATATTTGTTTTGAGAAACCATTATTTGTCTTTAATGTTTAAAAATTATTT